CTCTTTTGTTACAGACTAATGTTTCATTTGGCATAAACTCTTACAGATTACTGTATAGCATACTTCTTTAGCTGCATCTGAAGGAGTGGGCTGCAGTCCATAAAATCTTGTGTCAAACAAAAATAGTTAGTCTTTTAAGATGCCACAAAAATTATTTAGGCATCTTCCAGTTCTATGATTCCATGCAATAACAGGCTACAGGCTAACACAGCTAACCCTCTGGAAAATTCAAACACAGATTAGCAGTAGAAATCAATCTTTCATATGTGGCTTGCCATGAAGGCTCAAGTGGCAACAACATAATATCATCCTTCAGTGGCCATGGAAAAAGTCCTGCTGTAAGATTGACAGCCGCAGCTGCTAACCATCAAATAGGTAACATTACTATTAGGAGCGCAGACTGGACAATTCAGATGCCAGGTTTGTAACAGAATCACAGTTGGATGCAACTACAGCAAGGATTAATTATGTTGTTTTGGATAACCTTTGCCTGTGGAGGTTTTCAACTTGTGTAGCGTACAGATGAGGACAAGTTTCCTGGAGGACTGAGAAATCATGAAGAATCCTGGAAAACATGAGAATGTTTTCCACCTAGTGGTTGAAATATGCCAGGTCTGGGCTTATTATTGGGATCTAAGAGGTAGTGTACTGGCTGGATAGCTCAGTGGTTTAGATTGTAGAGCCTGAGGCTGAAAGTTCAATTTCTCATTGTGCCTCCTAGGAGTAGAGCCCACCTATGTGGTCTTGGGCAAGTTGCACAAGTCCAGGGTGACCCCAGAAGAAAGGAATAGTAAACCACTTCTGTGTATTCACTACCTAGAAAACCCTAGAAAGGATCACCATAAGTCAGAGTTGACTTCACAGCAGACAATTCTTATTATTAAGAGGCAGGGAATACTTTCCTCTTCCCAAGAGATAGCTTAGTTCCATTTCAATTCCAGCTACCCTTAAAGAGGCTGGTTGTTGGGCCTCAATTAAAGAGGAAAAAAAAATCCAAATCATATGGATTAGGCTACCTATTGTTCAGTGTCTTCAGTTGTTTGAAATGGTGGTGATCCCCCCCCCAACACTGGGTAATCCTGGATGAAACAAATGATTTATATTCACTCCCGTCAGGGAACAGAAACAACTTTGATGACAATGTATTCGCGAAGGCTTTCACGGCCGGGATCTAATGGTTGTTGTGGGTTTTTCG